AAAACTGTAAAAAAAGAACTTTGAAAAACAGTTCATTTCTATTAATGTAGTTTACATATTATTTTATATATTACTATATAAAATATATTGTAGAACAGTTATATTGATCTTGACGTGTATAAAAATACATATTCTATTGGCACACTGAATGATTTTAAAACCCTAAATAGGCACATAGTTAGCAAAAGGTTGCTGACCCCTTAAGATGATCTGTAAGTTTTAGGAAAATATGGGTGATTTTTAGTGGCTAGGAATGGTGAAAATTGATTTGAGATACAAGTTTTTTGAATTACGAGTTCAGTATTGAACTCGCAACTCTTTGGATCCAGTCACTGAATTACTTCAACCAATACTTTTATCTACTGGGCCATGTGTCATTACCTGGCTACAGCAGAGGTGAACAATAACTTGGAAAGTTGAATTAAAAAGAAATGACTGATACTGAAATATCTGGAAGAGGCATGGCATGTGGAACTAAAACAATCTACCCTGGTAGATGAAATAAAGGGTTTGGTTTGAAATTCTAATCACCTGAAGACCAGAGCATACAACAGCCGATATGTCATGAATATGGCAACAAAGATTAGGAAAACAGTCCAAACAATGTAAAGTGTGTAAATAATTATAATACCTCATCTCTAAGAAATATAGACAGATATCTTCTAAATCAGGGGTTGGCAACCGATGACACGTGTTCCAAACTGAGTGTGTTCACATCCACTGTTCAAGTTGTAAATGCTGAAAAAGTGCAATATCAATAGGTGCATTTTTTTCCACATGATGGGATTCCATGATTTACTTCTTTGCATATACTTTCATGTCAGACATCATTTAATAAAAATAAAAAAAAAAAAAGATATAAGTGTATGTAACACCATTAATACTCCTTGGCACAAATTGAGATAAAATGTTTTAAAGTTGCATTCTTTATTGAAAATCACACTAAAACAACTGCACTATATAACATATTACATCATAATATAGCTAAATTGTTCAGTACAATTTCCCTTTGAAGCAAATAAAGGTCTTATTTGATGGCACAGTGATTTAATCATAATGTGCTTGTGCCATACACAATTTATAAAGCTTCAGTAAATTATAAATTTTATAAGGCTTTCACTAATCCTCATCAATAAAATTCCAATGCCCCAATTCTGAACCTAAACTTTGAACTCATTTCCTAAAAAATGATAATGATATGAAAAAAATATTTTGTTGTTGTTGTTCATCATGTCAAACCCCAACTTTCAAATTGAGTGCAATACCATGGTTCTAAAATCGACCTGCACTAATGTGCAGGTTGTCTGGTGTTCAGTTCCAAGAACCTGGTTGCTAGACCCTTGTATGTCAAAAGTGTCTGGATAATCTTGTGTATGTATGTATGCATGCATGCATACAACAAAGTTTTGTAGTGTTTATCAATAGGCAACATGTGAATATGTTATTTCATTTGAAGAACAAAGTATGGAGAAAGCAACAAGAAACCACTTCCCCATTTTCCCAAGGAGTCATAGTAATTCACAGATAATAAAGAACTGAGATCTGTGGAGAGCCATGATTGTCTAAGTCCTGAGGAGACATGGCATTAAAAATGGATTCAATAATGAGTCTCACTCGGCTCTGGGTGGCACCCTGTCTCTGATGACAACTCTGAATTCGAAACTCTAGATAAAAGCAACTAGAAATCACTTTACTATATTTCCCAGTAAGTCATGGTACTGCAAAAGGTTGATTTGGAGAGCAAAATGCAGCCTTCTGTGGTATTTTGTTTTTATTTTTCTTCACTACATTCTGTATTTTTCTTAGAGAATTCTTCATTTATGATGCCAGTTTGTATTATAATACATTTCTGCTACTTGACACGTGTTCGAATGATTAGAATATTGGCGTTCTAACTATGAGAGTTGTGTTCGAATCTTGTGGGGGTCAGTTTACATATGTCAAGAAGGTGACTTGAGAAAGAATATTGGCCTGGAATTACTCCAGATACTTGAGATCCCAGCATGTGGAACCTTTGGGGGAAAGTGCCTGAAAATCCATATCACAGGTTGATTCAAACCTTAAGTATGAAATCCAGCAGAAGTCGCCAAGGGTTCAGGCCTGATGGCTGTGTTTAACGTCTGCTCACACCAACAGTCTATCTCAGAAACTGTAAGGTTAGGTTAGCCTAATTGTGGTATCAATCACATTGGATTTGTGGATGTTAATGAGCAAAAAAATGTCTGAGGATGCATGTGTACTTGGAATTAGCTCAGTACTTTAGCAGATGGGTATATTCCAGTGATTCCCAACATAGGGCACATACCCCACTGGTGGGGCATGGTAATATTTTAGTGGGGCATTCGTAGAATGTGCACCCTTTGGCTTACTATACCAATGTGAGCTCAAATTTCATTTAGCATTATTATTTCATGATTAAAATGATCAAAAGCATATTACAGAATAAGCTTTCATTCAAATATTTTATTTCTTCCTTTCAGTTCTCTATTATATATTTTGAAACTATATATGTCTGTTTTTTTAAAATTTTTCTCTTTCATGGATGCCATGGTCTTTGGCAGCTTGTTTAGAGACCAAATTAATGGCCTTTTAAATTTCCTTTACGTGAATTGCAATAAAATTTTGAATATGTAAGAATTAAATATTACAGGGGCGTGCACCAGAATTTTACAAATACCAAAGTGGGGCATGGTCCAAAATTGGTTGGGAACCACGGGATTTGGAAACCACTACTTTTATATTTATGTTCTACTGAACACATGGATTGAACCCACGAGTTTCGTAAGGTGACAACAACTCAAAATTAGCCTTCTTTATATATTTATAGCCTCTCTGTGTCTTTTCAATAAATACTTCATAGTAATTGTTCAAATGAGCTTTTTGCTGTGGTACTTGAACTTTATAAATTTAAATGCAGTACTAAACTAGCATTGAGATTTCATCAATTTACAGTTGTGCTGGTTAGCAGTAATCATAAATTCTATGCTAACAGTTTCTTTTCTCGCACTTCCCACTTGTGGAACTCTCTTCTAACTTCATGATTTCCAGCCAACTTTAATCTGCCAAAAATTAAATGCAATGTCAATCATCTACTTTCCTCCTGATTACTCTTCCCGTTCTTCATTAATGTTTCTATTCTTAATTCTTCCACACCTTGTAACCCCTTGTGTCTTAGTGGCTTTACTGCCTTGTGATTATATCGATTTAAAAAAAAAAAAAAAAGGAAAAGATTACAAAGAAAACAAACTGTGATTTTAAATGCATGTATTTTGAAATACATTGTTTCCTGTGCCATGTGTCCTTAAGTGGATAAAGGTGTTGGTTAGATCCAGTGACAGGACCCAAAGAGTGTGAGTTCAATACCTGATTAAGGCAGTGGAGAACTTGGAGAGGGAAATTAACAGGAGATAACTGATAACTGACATCCATTAGACATGGCATGTGGAACTAGAACAGTCTACCCAGCAAGTGAAATAAAGGGTTCAGTTCGACATTCCTGAAGAAGGTCAGAGTGTACAACGGCCAAAATGTTGTAATAAATATGGCAACAGAGATGAGGACAATAGTTTGAATAATGTAAATCTCAGAAATATAGACAGATATTGTTTCCTGATAAGTTTTTTGTTTTTTAGTCTAATTTTATATCCATGCCGTCACCCACAGTATTTGAGTTGTGCCAAACACAACATTGTTGTTTTTTTTTTAATTATCTTGTTTCGATTGACCGCACTGCGCACTTGTGTACTTTTATGTGTGTGAGGGTCTGTGTACTTTTGATCATTCATTACTTCAAATGTGTCCAGGAATAGCTGACAATGTGTGTCTGTTGCATTCCCAAAATACTGCACTCAAGCAATAAATTTAATATGTCGGCTGGGAGAGAAAATGAGTTGATTCCAAAGGGATTTCACTGTTTCATTTCGTCATAATAAAACAGTCAAATTATTCTATAATCTGGAAGATCATCAAGGTACCTTGCTTGCTGCTTTATGACTGCTTTCATTACTTAATCTTCTTAACAAAATGTATGGAACAAGTTTTATATAAGATAACATTTTACTTCTAAGATGGGGGGGGGGTAATTCCTAACCTAGGACCTCAAACTAACTTTTTTTTGATCATTGTCCCAGAATTGTCCAGAGATACAACTACAATCATTTTGAAAGCAAATATTTTTTTTTTTAACTTATCTTTTTAGAGCTGTTAGTAGCATAGTAAAATGACTATTAAATGTCTAAGAAATAAACTAAAAAAGCAAAAATATTAATTTTTTATAATAACAAATTTTACTGTAGTTTTATAAAGTCACAACTTTCTTTTTAGTTGAATCACCTTGAATAATTTTACAGTTCTTTGTTTTTATCTTATATTAAAAATTGTTCTGTGCATTCTTTTTTTTACATAAAGAATACAGATGCATTCCAACTAATCACAAAACTTTTTCTCTAATTTATTGCAATTAATTGCCTCGTGTCATGTTTGTTTATAATTTTTAAAACTCTCTCTCTTTCAGTTTCAATTTAGCTTATGAAAAGAAAACCTAACATGTAAATGGTGTTTGTTAATAGCTCCTTCAGTTGTTTAACCAAAAATTGCCAGAAAAAAAAAAAAACCTTTTCTTGCTTTGTTTCTTAAAGTAAAAATTAGTTCTTACAATCAGATCCTAATGTTTATTGAATAGAGAAAATTAATACAGATATCTAAATTCAAGTTCTTCAGCCTTCATTTTTGATTTGGATTGATTTGTTTTCAGCAGCTGATCAACCCTTTGCAGATTATCTAAAGCAGATTTTAAGGTTTTTATTTATTTTTTTTTCACAATAATGATTTAGTGATAAGTCTTACTAATTACCCATAGTTTGGGGGAGAAGAAGTGGGATCATACTTTTCTTAAGGGTATTTGCACATAATTGAATATAATGAACCCAATGCTAATTGGAACTCGGTTCTTCAATTAACAATTCTGAGCCATTATCCATTACACCACCTGCACATCCAAGCTTACAGCACCTGCTATTCCCAAGCGATCACCCATCTAGGGACTGACCAGGCTCAACATTACTTAACTACAGTGATCATACAGAAATAAGTGTTTTGACATGATGTGGCCATATGCTTCTTTATTTTCATTCAGGTTTCATACACCAGTTTAAAAAGAAAAAAAAAATTTTTTTTGTTGTGTGTGCAGGGTTGCAACGTTTATTAAAAGGCTGCAACTATAAGTGAGAAGTATGATTTTCTTTTTTAATAAAAAATAAAACAAAAACTAGTCCTTTTTGGAATAAATATAATTGAATTTTAATTAATTTTTTTTTTGTCTCAAAAATACTTAACCAGTCTTTCGAAACTAACATTCTATTGTCTAATATTGACCCTTAACCCAAGCTCATCATATTCTTAAATGCCTATAATTGGTAACAGAAGCCATTGGTTTATACCAACGGCTTCCCATACTTAATACTTCTTGTTTTTACTCTCGCGTGGTCATGTGTGATGTCATGAGCTGCGGTACGATTTTCGCTTCCAGCGTCTTGTATGCACAAATTTGTCATTGCCTGGAAATCTTCCATGTAAACAAAAACAGACTATCATTATTGTTTTGTCCGTGTATTGTTTAATATATTGTAATTGTCATCTTTGATAATGGCTTAAGCTGAAAGCTTAGATAGGATTAAAAAATATGTATCAATATTGTGATTTTCTTTCTTTTAATGGTAATATTATTAAGCTTATCAGACGATATGAAAAGAATTTACATAAAATAAATAGACTAAACTTGTCAATATTATTTGATGAAACATGCATAAATGAAAAAATACTGCCTAAATACACACACAAAATATAATATATATATATATATATATATATATATATAAATAAGTGAACATTGAAGTCAACACTTGGAGGCGACAGGCTGTTTCATGTTAGACCCAATCGTCAGGCCTGACAATTGCGTCTAGCATGAAACAGCCTGTCACCTCTGAGTATTGACTTCAATGTTCACTTTTATATTTATATACGCTCTATCTCTGATATTGAGCACTTTATCCCATAAATATAGCACACCTTAAAACTATATTTCTTCATATAAACATATATATATATATGCACAGGATGGCAATAAATTCACCATACAGTTACTTATAATAAAAAAGCAAAGTATTGAAGCAGGTGGCTTGCAGTTTGAACACTATCGGTAATTAATTTACTATTTTTTACCAAAGAATTTTATTGTTATTAATCAGAACCATTTTAATAATAAACTTCTGGACTGTTGATTAATTGCTTTATCTTAATTGTTATTGTAAGTAACTAATGAGTTTATTGCCAACATATATACACACACACACACACACACACGGTGGCAATAAAGTCACTACTGTTTGAGTAACCTATAATAAAAAAACAAATCATTGAAACAGGTCGCTTTCATTTTGAACAGTATCGATAATTAATTTACTATTGTTTCCCATAGAATTTTATTGTTATTAACCAGAATTAACCAGAACCATTTTAACTGTTGATTAATCACTTTGTCTTAATTGTTATTGTAAGTAACTGTATAGTAACTTTATTGCTACCCTGTGTTAATCATTTGGAAACTGGAAAAATAAAATAAAATAGAGATTCATTAAGAAGGGTGATATTGGCAGCAGAAATTCAATCCAAACAAGTTTTGTTAAATTCGGATTTTTTCTGTTAATTCACCCAAAATAATGTAGTTATTTATTGCAAATATTAATTCACCCGCAAAAATTATAAATTTTAACTCAAAGTTTATTAAATTTTTGGCACTCTTTTGAAATGATAAATTTTAAATCAAAATTTGTTTTTAACCTGCCTCGCAACAACTCTAACCTTCAAATGAAAAATTACCATCAGGGGGTTATTTACATTTCGTAAAATGATATTCGTGGTACGTCCAAGAAATTTTTTACAATTTAAATACAAAAAGAAAAAAAAAAAAAGTCTGATTTTGGCTTGTTTATCGAAGTGGGCCCACACTTAGAAATAGCGCACCCAAGTCGCCCACATTTGTGGCGATCGAAAAGGTCAATCCAACTGGAGTGCAATGGAAAGGCCTCGCGCTCTAGGAGAATTTGGTTGGAATTTTAGGTAAAATTCCTTTTATTTTGGTGTGAATTTAACAGAAAAGATTTTTAAATTCAACCGACAAAGTGTCTATTTTTTTTTTTATTACATTTTTAGTTTGCGAATGACATATGTTGCGATTGAATTATGAATATTGTACAAAAGAAAGAAAAAAAAAAATGAACTTTGAAGAGTTTATTCATAATTTCAATTCCGATACATCTTGTTTGGAAACTGGAAAAATATAATGATAAAAAAAAAAAGAGTTAAATTGACAGACCTTGTCGGTTGAAATGTAACAAATCTTGTGTGGATATAAGAAGTTATAAAAAAAAGCCCTCATTCGACTCTGAAAAGCTGACAAAATTTTTCATACTTAAGAAGATGAAGTTTTTGGCCTTCTCTGTAGTGAGTAATCAATTTCTTTTTGTTCTTAACAATAACAGCTGTGTATTATTTACAGGCAGACAGCAGGATGAAGACCGGTTTTAAGCAGATGTAAAAAAATATAATAATCTTTTATTCAGCCAACCATTTATCCCGGAGATAAAGGGATAAAAAAGTAAACCTTTAAATTATGCAATAAGGATTTGTGTTCGGTTTTAAAAGCTTTAAGAAGATTTATATATTTTTTTTTTTATCTTTATTAGAGAAAAAAAAATCCTATTTTATTTGTCAGTTCCCGACACTACCGTTTTTCAAGGATTTCTAATTTGAGGCCAATGCGGCACTTGTTTTTTTTTTTTTTTAAGTGTTTGAAATTAATTCACGTATCCTGCTCGACACTATTAAAAAGAAAAAAAAAAGAAATTCGTTTGACAAGGATCACCTCTCCGACTTTGAACGCTTGTTAGCCTGTCTGGCTGGCATCCATTCTTGGATTTTTAAAACATTTACATTCAAGGAACCCGTTGACAAGAACAACTGATGATATCTATTCATTCAGTAAAGTTTCTAGGTGAGTTAGGTACGGCCCATCCTGTAAGAAGATAAAAAAAAAACCCTACCTGCTTTTTTTTTCAAGCGAATTACTTCATTAGTAAAGACTTTTACACACCTTCACTTGTACTTTTTCGCCTTTACTCACGTTGTGTTAAAAAAGAAAATCATTCCCGTCCGCCGCACTTCAGTTTTTTTGTAGAAATATTAGATTTTTGTTATCGACGTGTTTCTCCGTGTAAACGGGAAGCTAAAGTACAGTTACTGTTGTATTAGCATCGCACCTGTTAAAATGACTGCGCTTATGGAATGGCATCTCTAGCGAGGATCAAGATCACTTTGCTCTTGGTGAAAATGAAGAGAGTTTGGCTGTTGGCACATACATTTTTACAAATATACACGTGAATTATTCAGAAATATTCAGGTAAATTTTATAAATTGTACTTTTTTCTGTTTGCTGTCGGTAGCAATTGCGTGATTTAAAAACAAAACATAAATAAATATTTATTTGAATTTAAAAGTAATTTAAAAAAAATTATTTAAATTTTTTTTTCGCTTGTTTTTTTAAGATGCTGTGCCTTATTTTGTTTGTCGGCATATCAACTCCCTATGGGTCATTTAATACCGAAATTTAATTTTCTTCGGAACATTAATAATTTCCTATACAAAAAATATATTGCTGGTAATTATTTCTTTTCCTTCAAAAATGTATCGCTTGTAATTTTTTTGTTGTTTTTTTTTTTTAACTATGCATTGCTGGCACCTTAACTATAAAAATGTATTTCTACTACACTTTCATTGTGTTTTTTTCACCTCAATTTGATGTTTCACTATTTTCCCGTAGCTGGTAACCTAACAGGTGCTAATACCCCAGGAAAGATTGGATCTGGAAACAACAGTAATTAAGAGGTGGTTCCATGTTCCTGAAAACTTCTCGATCAGAGGCCTTGCTGCCGGATGTAGTTTATTACATCCAGGACACTTATTTTATGTTGTGCTGGACGTGTTTCATCGTTTCCCTGCTATTTTTTGTTTGTTTCCTTTTTGTGTGTGGAGACGTTTTAAAAACGTTTTTACTTTTCTTTTCGATATAATTTCGAGGTTCATGTCAACAATTGTCAGTGAAGGATGACTTAAGAAAAATGGTGGGAGGCTTTTTTTCTTTTCTTTTTTTTTTTCTGGCCTCGATGCAGAAATGAACTTTAAAAAAATAAAATAAAACACATTGTGGGTTTGGGACCGATATGGTTAATGATGGAGCCACCCCCACCCACCCCCGTAAATAAGGAAGTACCGAGGGTAATTGGGGCACCATCTGCATATGCCCGTGAGTGAGGTTCAACGATGAGACTCTAGGTAAATATTGAATTTTTAAATATTATTAAAAAAGAACTTTAAACATACATGCTCAGTTCAAAACAAATGAAAAATACCCCAAACTTAAGAAAAACAAAGTTTTATCGTCAAATTTTTTCTTGTTATTAAGAAGAAAGACCAAAAGAATTTTTATTATATTTTTTGATCTTTTTTAGAACTTGCAGGGGTGACCAAAGATTACTATAGGGAATTTTAGCCTTTTTTTTTTTTTTTTTTTTCAGGTGGAAAACACATTAATTTTGAAATTCTTGCAAAAATCAATATAATTGTTGAATTTTAATCATTAAAACTTATTAGAACTTCTTCAGAAATGAACAAAATTATTTTAGAAATTCTTTTTTTATATAGAAAATCTTGGTAAAATCTTTTTTTATTTATTTTTCATTTTTTTACATTTGTTACCACCACTTATTTAATTTTAAGAAATTCCAAGAAATTAAGTTTTGTCCAATTAAATAAAATAATGTTTATTAGTTAAAAGCAGAAGTGCTTGGAGAAGTTAAATCATCAATTTATTTTTTTTTTTTTTTTTTTTTTTGTAAAACATAAACACCATTTATCGAAAATCTGCTCTGAATCTTAAAAGAATGCAATAAAATTAGGACATTATTTAATTAGAAAAGCTTTTAATTGCTTTTAGGAATAAGATATATTATGGACACTATTGTCCAAAGAAAAAAAAACATTTCGATGTATAATGAATTT